CAAACTCAGGAAATGTTCTTTGTCCTGAATTAATGAAGTATTTATATATGTTGAAAACAACCTTTTGCTATTAATTTCCAAAATTAATATCCAAGGTAACATAAATGTTGCTATGGACACAACATGCCTGGAAGTTGTTTGACCTCTTGTAATTTACTTTACCACGTAGTCCTTATTCAGCCCAAAGAACGGGGGTGGTTGGAATGCAATTAAAGAATAACGTTTACGACAAACAACAAACGTCAGATTTAAGGTGACAATTTCTCAAGTTAGGAAATAAACAGATGATAGCTGTAATAAATAAATAAATAATTCTTATAGATAAAGCTGACATGAAATTAAACTACGTTGTGCTTTTTAGGGGTAGATATGAACAACAGTAAAACACAAGTGATAGGGAAACTTAATAATCATCCATTCATTACATGTGTTGCTCAAGGCGTATCAATAAATGCGTTAGAGGGTAAAAAAAGGAATGAAAAAATGATAAAAAATGGAATTTACAAACTGACCATGAATGCTGTGGTTTATGGATCATAAACTACCGCTTATAAGCCCCTCCCCTCCCCACTTATTAGCCCCCTCAGTTATAGGCCTATCTACTTGTAAACAAAGAAAACACGTCTGATTATAAGCCGCCTCCCCCCCCCCCCCCGGGAAATAAGCCCCAAATGTATTATATGAATGCCCCTTAAAACCAGTAAATGCAAAACGGCCCATCTACTTGTTTCGAACAAAGAAAAAAGCCCCACGTTTGATTATAAAAACCGGCATGTTTACGGGCTTATAACCGGCAGTTTACGGTACATGAGAATACGTCAACATTAGTCGCTCAGATCCGATACAGTACTCCAGTGGTGTGGCGCTCTCAGTTCCTTTTTGTTTTCGTACCTTCACCAAAAAATCTTATTGCACAGAGAGCACATTTGAAAAGCAGTCTCTGTTTAAGCGAAGTTGATATAACTTTCTACAAGAAACTGTTGATTGAACTAGAACGTAGTGTACGGGGAAAGTAACCATTAGCCTGCCTAGCAACCGTTTCCAGTCGAGTGATTGTGCCAAAGTTGGAGAGAGATCTAAAGAAAGGAAGATCGAAGGGGGAGGGGGAGGGGAAGAGAAATTGCCTCCTCCCACTTCAACTTTTATTCAACCTTTTTGCTCTCGTCCCAACGTTCTCCACGAAGTCACGCGGAAACGCCTGCTACGCAGGCTAACTTACAATTTGCGTGGGAAAACCAGTAATTCCGGTTGGAAAATCAAATGGTTCGCGTCATTCCGTTTGGGAAACTTCTAGCCTGCGGGCAAGCTCTCCTATTTGGTCGAGCAAAGCGAGTCTCACGAGAACGCGCGCCGCGAGCTCGCGTTCTCGCGAGGCTTGCTTTACTCTCCCAAATAGGAGAGCTTGCCCGCAGGCTTGGAAACTTCGGAAAATATCGGCTGTGTTTTGAGGCGATGAAATTTTTCTACTCTTTTTAGACTGTTCAGCTCCTGGTTCAGCTGATTTGGTTTGTGTAAATGGTAAGAGCCCCCGGGTATCCGTATTAAGCTCCGGAAAGTAAACGGCCTTCTGTACGTAACGAAAAACTGGGGCTGGACTTATAGACCCCCCTTATAGCTATAGTTATTAGCGACATTCTTAAAATATAACCCCTAATGCCAATAACATTGTTATGCAACGATTTTTTCATTAAAAAGGTCTCTCACTAGGTCCGATATCTCACAAAAGATTACACAGACAAGAAAACCAATTACTACATGCGCTTTTTTAAAACATTCATAATGCTTAATCCTATGTGGCCATTATTTGATCGAGTGGGCGGAATCAATAATTTAACAGTTGTATCAGTTTGTGCCATTATGCATTGGTTTGCCGAGATTTTTCGCACCCCGGAAAGAGCCTTTAATAGCCTCGTTTATATCAAGGATACAAAGGGGTGACAATAAACTAAGATTTAATTGAGGCAAAGTAAAGGATAATATTGGGTTCTATTGGCGATTGTTTGCTGAACACTTTTTACCTAGCGATAAGCAAAGTTCTAAGAATATAGGTAACTGTTTGGTAAAAACTTTTGGATTTGAACTTCTCAAAAGTTAACTGTACACTTTATAATCATATCTTTGCAAAGTTACGCTGTCAAGGCAACACAAAGCAAATAATACCATTCTAAATATATTGCTACTGAAATGTTTCAGTCCAGGTCGATAAAAAATCGCTTTAAAGTTAAAAGTTAATTAAACGTTGTCAATAGTAAATTGAAGAAGGTGAAAAAAAAGCACTTGATTGGAGTGTCAATGTATTTAGCACGAAAGTACTAATTGAGGACACTATTTTTACGTTCCCTACTGGAGACGGAACCGCCATTTTTTGAAGTTGTCATCCGAGCCACGCGAAGGTCTAGCCATTTGCAAGGTAAAGGCAGTATCTTCATTTCTCAGTCTTTTGAAGACCCTGATCGAGTGTTGGTCCGGTCCCGAGAATCGAAACCCGCTACCTCCCGCTTTGCAGTCAAGCGCTCTACCGACTAAGCTAATCCTGCTGCAGTTTTTGGACGCTCCCAAAAAATATGATCATTGTTCGCTTTATCAACTCAACAAGATGTATTCCACTTCTTTTACGACATTTTTTTTCTTGATATTAGTACTGCTTAAAAAACTAGCAAGAGTGTCGCCTCGAGTTTTAAAACCAGATGATACACGACTGCGGCTTCTAAATCTCTGATATAGATCAACCCATTCTTGCACTGATATTCAGATCAGTTGGAGTTATTTTGGTCTAAAAAATTGGACCTAGAGTTAAGCTGTGTCTTTATCAGATATAAAGACGCTCATTAAACATAAGTTTCTTTTGTTTTTTCTTTATGAATTATTTTAAAGAGTTTTTGAATATCCCTTAGAGAGGCAATCACGGTAATCAAACGGTATGGTTCTTCTCACATGCCGCCGATGTATCTGCGACGTAGCCGTCGGTATCGCCTGGTACTTCTCGGACGAATAAGAACGTGCGCCACCGGCAACCAGAGCCATCGCAAAGCTTTACCGCCGGCATGTCTGCGAAGTTGAACTTGAGTCAACTTCGCAGGCATGTCGGGGGTAAAGACGGGGATGAGCACTGATGTTGCCGGCCACTTCTGTTCTCATATCGGAACAGTATCCCAGGCAGCACCGGCGGCCATGTTGCAGGTGCATCAGCGGCATATGAGAACCAGGCTTTATTTAGCTCTGGCCTACACTTAAGCTGCCGGACAGGGAATTGCTGGAAACAAGACCGATATAATGTCTGTTCGAATATTAATTATTGTTATACAGTCCGTTACCTTTCCTTTAGCGACAACCCAAAATGCAAAGTTTTAGTGGTCTAGCAACTACGAGCGATGGTCGCTTACGAGAATCAAACCACGAGGGGTCTCTTCCAAGAATAGGTCCGGACACATCTGCTTTAGGGAAGAAAATTTATTGCATGCATTCAGTTTCTTAGTTGCGATCCGTGTGAGTTCTATATGGTGACTATCTATATACCTATGTACTAAAAGTTCTTCGTAATTACTCTTAGTTGCATAGTACATACCCTGAACATAGAGATCAGACTATGCGTCAAGTGATCGCTTACAAGAGGGTTGAAAACAATGGCTAATTAAACTGAAACCGTCAGCCGCAAAAAGTACACTTAGCCGCGGTCGCTTAGAGGTTCCAACTGTAAAGCTTTTACTGGGAAAGGATGAGTGTTCTCTTATTGGAGGTGGTTGCTTACGGGAGTTGGTCGCACGTTGGGGTACGAATGTTTTATTTTACTGTCAAGCACTGTTTATCTGATCGGCCGCTGCCTTGGAAGAATTTGGGCGATCCGTTTCCTGTGTTTCTGACATTATGAATTATTATACTGACATTAATAAATTCTATGACCCCAAAATGTCAAATTGCTTTTGTAATTAGTACAATGAAAACCAAAAAAAACCAACGACTCGCTATCGCAAGTCATTTTTTCGCTGAATTATTTATCAACGGACATTAGCTTTAGCTTAGCAATAGATCCACAAAAAGGTCTAAGTATAAGGGAAAAAAAAGTATTAACCAAAATTCATAAAGATAAGACCACTTATGAGAGCGATTCGTTGACTTCATGCTCTGTATAGCACTGCTGAATGACTATAAAAAAAATTTAACTTTTTTAACTTACCTTATATAAAGAGAGAATCGAGACTACATGAACGCAGGTTGTTACGTGCAAAAGTTACCGGCTTCTTTTTCTCAAGATTTCTCTTAGCTTTGTATACACTGACTAATGATAGTCGTTAAGATTTGACAGGACTATTGAAGATGCAAAAATATGGTCATTAACTGACGTTGATTTTGCTTCGGGTTAATTGTTCAAAAGGTACCGGTATTTTTTACTGCTAGTTTTAAGTGCTGTGAGCGTTTAAATTTTTTTGGACAAAAAAAAAACGATTTCGCCGCCTATAACCTCAATTTTCCTTTCCTGGCTAATTGCCTAATGAATTGATGCTTTAAAAACAAAATTGCAGAGTACGGCCTGAACAAATCCAACCTAAGTCTATTGTGCTGTGTTCCCAAATCAATCTTTATTCTGTCCACAAAAGAAGATTAATTGCACGAAATCCGTTAAGACAGAGTAACCATGGATTCTCTAAGAGGTCACACTTTTACATTAGCAAGCCGAATGCAGTACTAATGATTCACTGATGATTTTGTGTTTTCCTGTTCTTGAAGCGATCAGTGTTTCCCTCCCGGTCTCGTTGTTCGATGATCCGAACCGCGTTGTCATGAAAACAAGAAGCCGGCGTTGGAGTTTGTTAGTGAGATGACCGCGGACGGTTAGTCAAGCGTAATTCCACGACAAAAAAAGGTCCATTGACGCAATTTTTTAAGCATTCATCGCACCATTTCGTAAATAAGAATCGTCACTTTCTTTGTTGAGTGATCACTGAAGTTGTTGTATCTTTGCATTGAGGTATCAGAGCTTCTTAAAGACTACCATTGCAAGGATGCGACACTTAGAGGAGTCGAGAAACCCAGCTCTTCGCAACAGGCCTACTGACGAACATACAAAGGAAATACTTGAACTCGTGAGAAAGCGAGCGGAAGAGGACTTAAAAAACGCAAATCTTAATTTCGACCAAGCCCTGCTAAGGCGAGTATCGGTAACTCGGCCAAATGAGCCACTGCCGTCGATTCGAGTTGATTATGACCATGACAATTGGCTAAAGAGAAGGAGCTGTCCAGCGGGACTTGACAACGAGGAAGCAGACACAAGTTTAACGTCAAGATGGAGGTCTTTGAGCGATGCGCCTTTGCTTGAACTGAGAAATCGTTCTCCGAGGGAACGCACGGTGTCATCCCCCGCGAGTGATACATCGGCAACATCGCGGCGTGGAAGAACGCGAAGACTGTCAAATATTCTTCCTCCTTTAGAATCGACAAAGGAGGGTTTTGAAAGACCGAACTGTGTTCCTTCGCGTCGCCACAGTGGCTTTTTGCTACAACCGAAGGAAGATATAAATATGAACTTAACTTACGACGAGGAATGAGTTTTGCTCGATGAATGGTTGCCTTTAAAATCAAATTATATGAAGATATAAAATATGTACAAAGTGGTATGAAGAAAATCCAAGGGCTGAACAGTCGCCAAGTACTGATTACCTCAAAAATCAGTTAAGAAAGGTACATCTTCCGGCTTAGAGCTGGATGTTAGATCACGGTCACTTTTTAGAAACAGACACCGTCTAAAGAACGGTCATTTAAAGAACTGTAAGTGGAGAAAAAAAGTGAAGAAAACAACAACAACCAATAGAGTGTGTACGATTTTTGGCGGCTTTAGCTCAGTGATTTCAGTCTTGCGGAAAAGGAATTGTTGGGTTGCTTTTAGGAAGGCTACAGAGAGTATAAGAATTATAATCAACCCATGTAAATAATTTCAATTACGTTCTCATGTTGTACACAACAATACACAGATAACATGAAACTGTTCTGTTTATTTAGTTGCCTTAACTCCAGAAAGATCTATAATGCCACCCCCGTGTAGAAAACCCTTTTTCAAAATTAAAAGTTGTGCTTCGTACTGTGCACACGCGTTGTTCTAGAAAAATACCTCTTTAAACATTGTTTATACTTCAGTGACTCAGCCACATGGGGTAATTAAGGCATATACGACCTGTTAATAACAACTACACAATGGCGCTATTTAAGTGTCGGTAAAGGTTGTACAAAACAGTACTATACACGACTAATGGTCTTACTTCAATGAAAGCTGCAAACACGAAGCAAGACTCTAAGAAAGCTTTTAAGGAATCTCATTGTAGTCCTCAAAGAGCCATTCTGATTAAGCCTTTGTTCTAGATCATCAGACTAGGAACGATCTGTTTGAATTATTTTAAAGAAAGAATTACGCCTTATCTCGTACCTTTTTAAGCAACTCCGCACTTCTGCTTTCATTTACATCTTTTAAGCCAGATTCTTTGAACTCAGTTCCGATAAATTGTGCCTCGCTAACATTTTACCTCCTGAATTTGGCCGTTTGGTTTTCTGCGCGGTATAAAAGATCGTCGAGCTCCCCAGACTACCCGCCGGCCAGAGAACAAAGTTACTTACATGTAAGATATTGCCAAGAATTTAATGTATCTTGTCTAGTTTCCAAAGATCCGAAATTTGGGGATGATGCGACGCAATATATATTCATATTCAGTGTAGAAAATAACGGTTAATTTCACTCTTGACTTGTAATTAATGTTGCAAACTTCTGAGAGGGACCCGACGTAAAAAAACGCTTTCAAAGTCTTCAAACAAGAACAGATACAAATTTTATTACGTTAGTTGCTGCTCGAAAACTCTTGGTTTCTCGTTCATACAATAATATACTGTTTCAATAGTGTAAGTAACAACATCATAGGAAAGTAGGAAAGTGCTGCTCTGTGACTTTCAGTAACTCAGAATCAATGGTCCAACACTTTAGTCATTCTAGTCATACACCGACGGCGACAAAGTTACCAAACTCTTGCCAAAACTCAATGATATAGCTGCATAAAAATTACTCAGCTAAACATTTACATCTTAAGCTTCGCACGGAAAATTCCACTGTAGAGCCTATTTATAGACTACAAAACAGTCGGTTTTTTGACCCTCCAAATTTCGTTTTCACCTTCACTCCAGAACTTTATTTGAACAATTCTTCGTTCTTCACCTACGCAAAATAACGGGCTGTTTTGCAGTCTAAGGAAACAGATAGAAACAAAGTTTTGGCGGCCCACCACAATTTCCTTTTCTTTTCCTGAACTCGATTAGATGATTTCTGACTTAAAAGTAGTTTGCGTTCTGTTTGATAGTGCTAATTAGTTCTGTACTGGTTCGACTCTCTTGTGAAGTGCGTTTTCAGTTTATTCATTTTCATCAAAAATGTTTTTAAATATATTTCAAACAAAAAAGAGAAAATGAAAGTGATTCATTGTGTCGATTTATGATCATCGGAATAAACAAATAAGTTTACCCATTGTTTTTCGTGGCCGGGGAAACTAATGACGCAAATTGGAGACCTTTATCGCGTGCCGCCAATAAATCGGAAATAATTATCATTTTATTTGAAAATGTTAACATATTGTAACTTTGATCAGGTCTTTTGATGACGACAGATCATAGTAAAAATTTTACAAAATTTGACTTTGGTCAAATACCTTAATCCTACATAAAGCTTTCTGTTGAAGTGAAAAATGAAAAAGTAAAATTTGTGAAGGAAGAATGAACAATTACAGCTCGATATAACCCTTTGTTTCATCTTGCTATTCAAAGACTCACGCAAAGGGCTTAAGATGTTTGTCTTTGCAGTATTGGTCCATCTTACCTTTTGCCGTAGCTGAAAAATAGAGGATATTACATGATAGCGCGAGGATACGAATTTTATCTTCGAGTGCTGAAAGTATCTCTCACGAGTGAACGAAGCGAACGAGTGAGAGATAGCAAAAACAGCAAAATAGTGCAGTTAAAGTGGTCACCTTCGCAAAATGCCTGTCACAAAAATGTTTTGAAACTCTGATATAAAGTTATAAAGGAGAAATAAAGACAATAATACTCATATTTTCTGTTCCAAAAAGTCAAAATTCTAATGAAGAAGAGAAAAATTCTATAACAGAAAATTCTAATCCTATAATCATGTTAGTAACCACGGCGACACCAATATCCTCACTCGTGAAAGATAAAAATAGTATCTTCGCTGCGCGCGATGAAGATATGATTTTTTAGTAAAAGGAAAAATCCTGGTATTTCGTCAGTATCTATATAATAAAAGTATTTATTAGTGTTTATTTGTGATTAGTATTTTTAGTTTTTTCTCTCTCTGATCTAATTATAAATTATCTTTTAAACCTTTACAAATGATGTTACAAGTTGATACCATAGTTTGAGAATAGAAATGAGCGAAATCACACATTTCCATATTATCTTAACATCATTTTTGAGTGAGGAGATAAACCATGTTACATTTATATAAGCTAAAACTTTTTGTTTCAAATGTTGTCCAATCCACTTGCATATGGTGTATGCACATTATGAAAAGCAAAAGGTAAATTCCCTTGAGTATCACGTGGTCTAAGATGGGAAAAGACACACACAGTCTGAAAAGGTCTATTTATTGCAGTCGCCATCTTTAATTTTGAAGGCACGAGATGACTGGGGGGCAGGGAAGGGCATAACGCGAAAAGAATAAAGATGGCGCGAGCGAATTCTTTTAACTCGTTCATCCCTAAAAACGCCTACGCCGCTTACCATTATGCTACCCGTGACAACCCCAACCTAATATGTAGGGCTCATTCGTTTGAGTACTACTTGAGCTGTGCCCAAAAGTTATTTGATATTTGACGTCATAGCCGACGTCATTTTGGAAAACATCTTATCACTCTTTGTTTTGCTTTCTTTTCTTATTCAGGATGTTTGTATGTTTCTATGACAAGGTATTTATATGACGCTTCACCACAACAAAGCCCACTTGACAACTTTTTTTTCTTCATGTACAGTATACAGTAACAAAAGTAGCCACTCTTTGTGCTGGAGAAACATGCTTACAAGCAAAAATTTCGTTTTGAGGGAGACACTTTCCCCTTTTTCTCTCTACGAATAAGTTAGGAAAGTAAGCGAACTTTTGCCTTTTGCGGCCTTCCTTAGGAACTAAACAGTGATTATTAGAGTTATTTATGATTGCCTCCAACCAGTCATGTGACATTATTCCGTGACATGTTCGGGTTATTTCCGGTCATTATATTGATCATCTGTTGACTCAAACAAAAAAGAAAATTAGAAAGGAGAATTCATGAGACCACACAGCCGGATTGCACATTCTTATAAAAATAATCACATCACACAAAGCAAATAAAACAAAACACAACATAACATAACACACAAGAACTGTTTAGCAAAGCAAAAATTTGTTCTTTATTCTTATCACGTGGTTACCTCTTTTCTTTTAAGTAAGATACGAGAACTGTGAGCTACGCTGCATAAAACTCAGTTTTTTCAAATCTCTTCAGCTGAATATTGCTAGTAACATCCTTAATAGAAACTAATTAAACCAATGAGGCAGTCCACCTTCTAAAACCAGAGCTTTATCAAAAATAATTATCAGAGGAAATGAATATCCCCGGACTGGGGGTTGTGGGGGGAGGGGGGGGGAAGAAACTCCCTTATTTGGCCTAAACGGGTATTGCAGCTGAACAGGGTATGGTTTTTAGGTTCGTAAAATAAGGTCTCTTGTCGTAAACAGGGTAGTGAAATGAACTATTTTTTGAAGGCCTCACGGCACACTTGACCCAAACGTCTCTTGGGAAACTCCCCCCCCCGCCAGCACCCCCGTGAGTGACAAACACAGCTTCCTCATAACAGTCGCATAATAACCGATAAGAGGAGTGTGGATAAATCTGAACGCGTGAATGCTTTTTGGCTAGGCTTGAGTCAAGTGAACAGATTACGTATTTAGCTAAGACGCTGATCTGACTTTAAATCACAATACAGCACGTAACCAAGGTAATCAATCGCGGGTAACGTGTTTAGGTCAAGGTAATCAATCGCGGGTAACGTGTTTAGGTCGTTTTCTAAAAAAAAAAAAAATTCCTAAAATTGATACGGTGATATAAAATTCGTGCCCCGTTCTAGGGGCGGTTCTACCCCTGAAAAAATATTTCGTTCGAACTTCAAATAAATGCTGAATAATCAGCAAAAATATTAAGCAGAAGATAAAGACGGCGCCCTCTGAAATAGATACCCCGTTCTAAATCAGGACTTCAGCCTCCGTGATATTACTCTCCAGTTTCCCAACAATTACACGATTCAACCTTATACATAAGGTCTGTTCTCTTTTTACCTTTCTTCCCAAAAGAGAGCACCAAGGTAGGTCACATACCATAAGCGTGCTGAGGTTAAGCATATGATTTTAAAGTCTAAACACTTCTCACTTTTTTTTCTGGTGACTTAAAACTGAATATATTATATGATAAGATCCCTGCTTATAAATATATTTTGCGTGATTCGTGACCGGTAGGTACACTGGGCAACAGGGGATAAAAGTGGGTTTCGTGAGGATATTATTCAAGATTGCCATCGATACTGAAAACTCATCGCCTACCGAAACAATCTCGAATCATAGGTAATTAATATGATTGAGCCTTAGACATAATGTACCCTATACTTTTTTTAAGATATTCACGGAGAATTGAAAGTTTCCATGCGCATATATAGAAGATCGGTCTTAGACTCCTATTAAATATTGAAATTTTAAATCTCGATGACGTTTTTGATCTTAAGAATCGTTTGATTAAGGAACTACACCAGCTCACCACACAATCACACAAAGCGCGATTTTAAAGTATTTGACTTCTCTGACACACGATGAAACCGAATATTTCAAGCCAGCGGTTTATAGCCTTTGAATTGAGGAATGCTAAGATACCAAACCTACTTTGAAATATTTAACAATATATTGGCAGTTATGTCATGTTTATCTTTTATTTTGATGGTACTCGAAATCTAAGAAGTTTCTCCAGGCATAATTCGAATTTCATTATCAAGCTACATGTTTTAATTATTTATATTTAATGATGAATTTTACACCAAACAAAGACCACTTTTTGTCCTTTTATTATTTTCAGAGAAATCATTATTATAACACCGCCAAACGAAAACAGCTCGCAATTTTGATATTATGTTTTTCGTGAAACCATGGTGAGATAAATAAAAAACAAAACCAATATTTTTTGCAAATTTTTCCCAGCTCCTTGTGATTCAAATGAGAGATATTTATCGCGCAGAGTATTAAATAAGATATTTTATGAACCATGCAAACTTTATTTGCGTGCTTTAATCCTACTTCATGTTATCATCGCTGACTTTTAATCGGTTTTCTTATTAGACCGATCTTGCTTGAGATAAATGGAACGAGGCACAGGAAACTGTCATAATTATTAAGTATTATTCTCCGAATCAGGGCCAGTCAGGGGTAAATTTCAATGCCGGAAAATATGCCATTTCTCGTCGTTGACTTATCTCCAATGTTTACATCCTATGTGTCGGAGAGATTATAAGAGGCGTTTCCAAGCTACTCATTTTCTTTTGGTGAAACATTTACTTGAGTGCGAATTTAACAAGATTTGTGATTTGACGAACTGCTAACAACGTGTCTTTGACGTTGCTGTTACAGATAATAATACCAAAAAAACTATAAACAAAATGAGGAGAGGTAAGTCTTAATTTGACATTTGCTATGATAAACACATGCTCTTCTTCATTGTTCGTTTTTTTCTTAGAAACGGGAAGCAAATTTCCTATCGCCAATTTTATGTCCAATTTTGCCTGCCTTGATTTCATGTTCTTTGAAGAATTTACCCTTATAAAAGTTAAATGAAAACCCGTGAATATTACAAATCAAAATAATCTGGGAATTAAACTCGCCTTAAAGCCACAATAAATGGTAATAATGTAAGGCAGTATAAATACATTACTGAAGTCTAAAATCTCCTTTAATAATGTGTAATCCTCTTTTTTACGTTCTCCTACGATTAATTAATTCGTTCAGAGTGATCATCATAAATCAACCTTAATTCTCTGCCAAAATCACCTCAAATTGACACTTCTCAGTTTTGTTTCCCCTAGATCAGTAGTAAACCTAAGGAAGTCTTGTAAAGTAGAGATTTCGGTAGACAGTTAGTAGAGAGAGGACAGCAATACTGTAAACTCAGTATAATGGAATTGAAGCGGAATCAAAATGGCGACGGCAGCGAAGACTTCACTTTTCAATTAAGGAACTTCAAGGCTATAGTTCCACCTCGTTCAATGTTCAAATTTGGCCACTTTTTTCTGAAGTTGAGTTCTTAAAGATTGAATAAAAAACCAAAAAAGAAAAAAAAGAAAATTAAGGTGTCGTCTTACAAGTGAGTGTGCTTTCGTCTTCCATAAAAAACGCCGTGAAATCTGTGGGAAGATTTTACAACGTAGTCGTTCAACGACAGCAAGGAAATGTTCAAAAATGGAACGAATTTTTGTTTTGCTTATTAAACCTATTTTCTTTTTAACCCCCCTTGCCGTCGCCGTCTTTCTTGCTTCAGAAGAATCAGTACCTCGCCGCACAGGACTAATACTTTCCTGAAACACTGAACAAGTTAAGAGTGATACCGGTTTGGTACTAAAAAGCAAAAAAGGTACATCAACATCATTTTCATCGAGGCAACTTCAGTTACTAATCTTTGTGGCCTACACAAATACAGTCATGCTTCCACTTCTTTAATAGAAAATTTCCCTTTTTGTTTTTATTGTTAAGTAAGCTCAAGCAGAAACGGCTGACGTAGTTGCTTAACTCAACAGAAAGACTCTAGCTATAGCATCGTGTCTTTGTAGAAACGCGAATGAATCGATGACTTTTCATGGACTGATTTGCCCATCAACAGGGACGGGGAATCCGGAGGGAGGCTTCAGTATCCCCACTTTTTCCAAAGAAAAAAGGGACTTTCTAAGAGGAGAGCCTGCCTTCCCACTTTAAATCACTAGTCAGCTCTCCTAGTTGGAAAAATGTTCCGCCGACTCTGCAATCAGCCTGATGGACAAAAAAGGGCTCAGCAAAATGTTGGCCCAATAAGCTTTTAATTCTAATGGAGAATAATAAGTTTAGCCACCAAAGCTCACACAAGATTGATTTGCTGAGTAACTACAATTTCCACAAAACGTCTTGCAGAAAGGGCTACGACTGCAAAATTAAGTTGCCTGTTAGTTCGATGGACAATATCTTACAGACGTTTACCTTGGTTGTCAAGGGAAAATGTTTATCTGCTTATGTGGAATTTAAATAAATATATCTATCCTGATTTTAGTTCAATATCGTTAACCTCTACTCGCCAATTCTCTCAGACAGACAACTAACTTATCGAGTCGAAATAAATTGACAGCTGCATCAGCTGACTTCGATGCTCTATATTTACAAGTCACATTTTGTGATCTACTGTTGTTTTGATCTGTTGACAATTAATGTGATTCCCATCAAAGGATAAAAAACCTGGGCTGAGATCTATTTATCAAATATTCTGTTTTTCGGGGGCAATACTGAGTTGCCATGGTTTCCGGTATGCATCCTCTATCGATCGTGAACCCGTACTTCTTAAACCTTTAGCCTAAGAAAACAGCCGATATTTGGCAGCCACCACTGGTGACTCTGAGAAACGAGCGAGGAAATTCCATACTGACGTCACTAGCCAGATCTGGGTAGTGCCTCTGATTGGTTGCACCGCGTGGGAAATTTGCTTCAGCCAATCGGAAGCTCTACCCAGATCTGGCGCGATGGTTATCTACAGCACTTCCCCACTAATGCTGCCAGATACTCAGGGCGGCTACCTAAACCAGGGAAACATTCATAGATTATAATTTCTTTGTACTTTCGTCTTTTTTTTTTTAAACAATTAAGACTGAAGTTCTATTTTTCTGTTGATTGTCTTTTCAGGAAATTTAACGATGGGATTTTCCTCTTCCAACGAGCTGGTTGACAGACACAGCGCTACATGCAGAAAAAATGCTTCACTGCAAGCGGATCTAGATTGGAATGATAACCCATTTCGAAACCTCCATCCTAAGATGTACTTAAGACAGAAAAGAGTGTCCAGCAAAATTATAAAGGATAGTCACAACGAATTTAAAACAGATATGAAGTCCAGCGCTCTCTTGGGCCGGAATGCAAAGAACAATTTAGATTGCCAAACCAAACTGGGAAAACCAACAAAACAAATTCTTCAGAACGCTGCCAAGAAACATCCGCTTAGCGCCGAGAAAACGTTGGATGGAGATTATTATTTGAAAAATCTGGACGAAGTAACGTATCTAAACCGGAGAAACATTTCAGTAGCAAAGAAACGCGCGCTTGATAAAGGAACACACTCGTTGCCCCTTATTGTCACACCCAAGAAGATGAACAGAGAAAACAAAGAATCATTAAGCGAACTTAGCAAAACTTTGCGCGAAAGTAATACGAACTACTTGCCTCGGATAAGGTGTGCAAGTTTTCTTTCTCTCGTCTATGAAGACGAAAAGAAAATGGAAAGACAAAGGGAAGAGAGAGCTCGGTACACTGCTAAATCAACATCAACCTGTGGGCCACAGATGAATGAAAGTTCATTCATCTTTGGAACGGAAGGTGACAATCCCAAAAAGATTGCAAGTGATTTGAGAGGTTATAAAGGAATAGCACATTCGGACGTCGACGGAAAGGAACGCTTGAATGCAGTTGACATTGGTAGTCGGAACTTAACGGACCATCAGTCTTCTTTCAAAACAGTCAATAAATGCAACACCAGCAAAGGAGTGGATAGTGATATTAATATGGTTTTAAGGGCTAAACTTCATCGATCAAGTTTTAGTTATCAGTTATAGTAACATTTATAGTAATTTAATAATCGAAATAATAACACTGATACAATAACGTATTAATAAATTAAATAAAATTTTGACAAAATTAAAGAATATCCCAAAGCTAAGATGATGTACTACTGATTTATAACTGGAAAACCTTTATCTCGTGCGTGTTAGCCTGCGAATACTAGCCTGCATAACGGGTGCTTTATGGGCCAAGCGAGTCGAACGCGGCATTTCGCGCGAAAAGCGACAAGCGCGAGACGAGGGGAGGAGACAGCCGTCTCTCCTCGCTCCTCCAACCTCGTCCCCAGGGTTTTTCACCCATTTTTAAGGGAAACCCTTGCGGACGAGGTTGCTCGCTCCTCGCCTCCTCGCAGACACTGTGCTAAATCTAACCGGTTCCAGGCTCTCTCATTTAGTTGGCACGAGCGCGCTTGAGAAAACCAATAAGGACTGGGGAGAACTGAAGAAAGCCTCCAAAAGCCTATGCGGAATCCTGTATCCAGCCATTTTACATAAACGTCGCTACAGATTTTGCTTGTGTGTGATAAGCATATCAGGGGATTCTTCTGTAAACCCTTCGTCTTGGACACAAGTTCAAAGCTGTAATGAGGATCAAAATGAAAAGACCGATCACAGCAACTGGCCATAACACACATAGCAACACATCTCTTCTACATTGTCCTCTGCTGTGATTTCGCTCTAAAATCACTTCATCCAGGACTTGAGGGTTGCGGTAGCAAATGGTTGTGACTCCAGATCCAAGGCTGTACCTCTCCGTCAGGTTTTGTGGTGATCCCACTTCGCAAATGCTTATTTCCTTCTTGAAAGTGCACTAAAAGTAAGGAGTTGAAGTTAAAGGACTTCGTAGCCAGAAGACAGTTCCCTCGGGGGCCTGTTCACTTATATGAAAGGGCCCATATCACATACCGATTAGCGCTAGCTGGCCGCAAAGCCTAAGCAATGTCAAAGCCGAGAGAATTCTCTCTTGTCGAAACCCACACAATTTATTAGACAAAAAGTTTACCCTTGGCAAACTCAAATAACTCAAGTCAAAACAGGCAGCGAGAACAAACAGAGATAAAAAAAATAATATAACAAAAAAAACAAATAGAAGGAAAAATGCCCAGCTGCAGTTATAAGCTGTTTATTTCCTTTGCTTCAAATGTGAAGCGAAAGAAATAGGGTTGTCTGAGTGCTAGGTGAGCGCAGGGTAAAAAAGAACCTCTTTGGAAAACGTACTGCGCATGTGTAATAGCAACGTGGAGATTAGCCTGGGACCAGGTTCCGCAGTTGAGAAAAAGACGAAAAAAATCGGCGAGCGATGCGAGCCGAGCTCTAGTCCTCCTCAGTCTACAGCTAGGCTCGCGTTGCTCGCCGAATTTTTTTTTTGTTGTTTGTTTGTCGTTTCACTCCGTTTTTCACCATATTTTTACCGCGGTGGAGCCTGGTCACAGGACATTCTCTGGTCGCCCGCAGAAAAAAGGGTAGTTTCTTAGTGATCAATAAATGACGTAATACAAAAGATTGAAAAGACAATGAACGATACCCACACCACAACACAAAAGCGAACCAACAATGGTTTCCCTGTTTCCGCGACAATAAGAAATGACCCTCAGAAATACTAGACTAAGAGCGAGGGAAACGCGAGCGCGCGTGAAAATCACACTACGCGAGAAAAGGCGACACGCGGCGGGGAGAGAGAAAAATGCGTGTCGCCTTTTCTCGCGTGGGGTGATTTCACGCGCGCTCGCGTTTCGCTCGCTCTACTATCCTTGGCGAAAAATGGGGGACTACTCGTAGTCTACAGAAATACCCGAAAAAAGGATTGTATTAAAATGATGTAATAATTACCTCATCACTCAGGTGATGCACATCCCTTCGAAGTAAATAACCTTTTTCTCTACCTCCACAACAGCTCTTGTTTGCCACTTCTTCTTTGTCACATTCAAGACATACGTACACTTTCAAGCACAGAACAATTTTTTCGTTCGTTCCACGACTGCATTCGCATGTACCACTTTTGCATGACAAGTTGTTATCTTTTACTGTACAGTTCTTCTCTTCGAAGTTGTGTGATGTTCTATGTAGCGGTAGCACTCTAGTTACCAACAAAACAACCAAGGAGATACATCCTGTAAGAAAAAGCAAACTACCGCAACAAATTGCAAAGTTTGCGCAGCGATGATCCATAATGTCAACCAGAAGGTGAAGCGTCGTGAGTCCTCTTGGATTTCCAAGATTACGTATATTTTTATTCAATGATAATGGCCTAGTATTACTTCAATGATCTGATACTTCCATCCCAGTCTTCTAAAAAAGGTTGGTTTTAATTTGCAGCAATCAATCCACCTCGGTGTCTGGCGTTACACTTTCCCTTGGTGAAAATAAAGTGTCTGACATGTACAGGCCTCTAAACTACCTCAGTTTCCGTTTGGGGGTCAAAACAAAAGACAGTATGTGCTTCAAAAAACTGAATCATATTTTACCTTATAGATCTCGTGGTAAACGTTATGCGTGACTTAACTTCATTTGATAAATCTCATAGCACTAACTTCAGACGTTTTGAATCTTCAACGACCAATCTTAAGAAGATAATCTATGGACTGCACGAGAAAAACAGCTGAAAACATTTATATTAGAGAAACAAGATCATGTGTAAGTCCAAGGGACAAGAGAGTGAGTATCACGAGTTCAGACCACTTGTCCAGCGCATCTCGAACATCGACGCCGGTACTGTTTCATGTTATTTTTAAAATTTATTCAACTTAAGTTAAAATTTTAGTTGAATTTTCCTCTCTTCGTCGTAGGAATCAGTTGTGCCATTTTCCGGTTTATCAAAAATCTCACTTTCAAAACGAGGCTAAGTGCAAAACCTTTCTTGAAAAATGATTTTATTGGCATGAGAATACTAATTCATTTTGATAACAATGCACTTAGCCTCGTAGAGACCTAAGGCAACTCGGAAATGTTTGGTCAAATGGTGTTTCTTGGTTAGATAATTCTTTTATTAACAATTTCATAACGTTCCTAAAATATCGTTTCCTCGCTCTTGCAAAGAAAAATGAGTTACTACAAAATCTTAACTCACCGCGATTAGATTTCAGGTTCGAATAATTCGTTCGAATCATATCTCCCAATCAAATTTGATTAAAGTAGGGCCTCGTTCACATAATAAAATTAAACATGTTTAAAAGCTGTTTAGTTACAAGGAATTGTTTTCTTTGTTAAATTAAAGCTGCTTACTGACTTTTCCTGCGAGCAGAGGCCCTTAGGGTCCTTCCCGACTTATCTAAGAAGATCGAAGGGCCTCTGCTGGCAGGGTACTTAATGACTCGGACCTGAGCTGATTTCAAATTTAGCGCAAATTCAGACGAAACTTGTTGAATTTCACTTGAATCCTGTGCAAGAACCTGTGCTCCAGTTTTCCGTGTCTGTTTCTTATTCTTAAAAGCACTGGTTTAATTGAACATGTTTAGTTGACGTGAATAGGGAATGAATATGTATATCCTGATTTATTTTTACTTGTTCAACGTAATTTACATTTTCACAGACGTAGATATCTATTTTTTTTTGTACCTTTCCCCTGCGTGTGTGTAATTTTCGTTATCTGGCGCTTATTTTATTGTACGTCCGGGGGTTAAAGTGTTCGTTGTAGGGTTGAAATTGAAATTCCTTCCAGTCGCTCGTATTTGTTTCGAAATCGCAAAGAAAAGTAACAGCCTGCTATTGCCAAAACCACAACTCCCATCAATATAATGGTTAGTGGCCAGAGAACGTGTCCAAAGACTAAATTATCGTAGTTATCATTGGAGACTTTGGAGCGAACTATCTGACTGGGATCCTTTGGATTGTAATAACACTTCATCATTAATCCGATAGGATTGTCTCTCTGGCTTTGAATATGCTGTGAAAGGTCAGATTTGTCCTTGCATTCTTCTGGTTCATAGGTGCACTGAAATATATGAAAACGAAGCTCCATTAATTATTCCTGTGTTCGATAGTGTGTTTGGATTCCGTTAAAACGTAGGGAAGGGAGGGTGAGGCAATCGTACACAAAATTTCCCAAAACTGTTCTTTGTTTGGTTCAGTTCCATGGCACAAGAAAACCTCTTTACAATCTTAACAGTGCTTAGTGTCTCCGTATTCTATTTGCTACAATGCAATTAGCCCCTCCACTTTTTTGGATAGTAAAATATATATATATTTTTACTTTGGTTACCCAGATCTGTCACTTACCTCACAAACAAGGTTTTGTAATCTGACAATACTGAACACCCACAAACAGAGAACAGACAAACTTTGTCTTATAGCTGTTACCAATGAGCTCTTAACAATTATCGCAAAGGCAGCTTTGGCACCTTCGGGGAATGTCCGGGTGACACTGAACCGTTGCGTATGTTGGGTTAGCCCGCTATTCATTTAAATTTTGGTCTAACGTGGGGGCCAGGTTGTCACTTGTTGTTTAATTTTAAGTGCCGATGTAATAATTACAAATTCATAATACCACTAGCAGTTTTAGATGCATTTATAGCCATTTCAGAAGACTCAAATGTGAAATTTTCCCGGGGGAGCATGCCCCCGGACCTCCCTAGTTTGTTCACGCTTACGCGTTCGCATTAGCCCCCTCCTCCGCGCCCCCCAACTTGAAAATCCGCTCCGCGGGCCCTCCTACTATCCCTGGGGAAAATGAGGGACCGACTGATAGTTTACTCCTCTGGTCTACTCCCCAGGGGGGGTACTCGGGATTTCAAGTGACGGGGATGATCGAAGGATTTTTTGGGGTTTGAAATTTTCGATTCCGGGATTGTTTTGGGTACGAAGATTTGGCAAGTATTTTTTTGGGTAGCTTGATTTGAGTAGTGACTTTTTGGGGGATTAAAAAGACTCGGTAGTGCCCTGGCTGCGTAGTTCTGCGAATAAAGTACAAACAAATTTAAACGTGTTTTGCTGTTGTTTACTAGTTAACCATGCTGTCGCTTTACATCTGGAACTTTCAAGGGCCACAAAATCGGCACGGGATTTTGAGGGGGGTTAATTTTTGGTCCACGGATTTTTTTGGGTTTTGCTGGAAGCCCTAGGCATTTTCTTGGGTCTTGACTTTTGGCTCCATTCGATCATCCCCGTCACTTGAAATCCCGAGTACCCCCCCTGGGGTCTACTCCCTAAAGTGCTTTTTAGTTAGTAAACCTCCTGTGTACAGCCGCCTCCCCTTCCCCCGCCCCCACCAAAAAGTAAACTAAAATAACTAAAAATAAACATGATAAATCGGGGAGAGAGAGAGCAAATTTGTTTTAGGACACGGAGTAAGTATACGAGTCCATATCTAGAAAAGCAGGACATGAAATGACGAAGGCATCATTCATTTTATTCGATTTCTACAGGAGCCTATCAATATATCTATTCAGGGTTGGCATACGTTATTTCTTACCTGTTCATCAAGGCTGTGAATGTCTTTAAGCAACAAAAGAGGCTGTCTTCTCTCCAGAGAATCGTTTGTTTTCACATCAACATGATCAAGGCCTTTACCACACAAGACAAAAATCCTCAAACACGGATAGCGTGTCAAATTACGTTTGCTGTGCGCGCATTTTACTTTTCTGTCCAAATTACTTGAAGCAATCGTGCAATTTATTTCTCTTAAATTTTGCTCTTCGAAAGCGGGAAACACGCTATGAATCACCACGGTGACCAAACATATTGTACCAATGAGAAATAAACCAACACCGAGCAAAGCAGTCAGTTCGAATATTGTGCTGCGCATTTTCATCAATGTTTATAAAGGTCGAAGACTCTTGATTCACTGTGTTTGTTGTCAAGAAGGAAAGTATCCGAAAAGAAGAACGTGACTCGGAAATCAAGTTATTTTACGGCAGCGTCATAGTAAACAAATCAGGCAACGTCAATCAAGCAGTCAAGGGTCCCTCCCGGTCCCTTGAGAGAGTGACTTCGGCACTGAGGGGACCATAGAAAGTGTCCGTTTTAACAGGCTGCCCGTATTAAACGGGTTTTAAAATTTAGAGAAAATATAAGGGATTTCATCAGACCATGGACAAAGCAAACTGTCCTTGATAATGAGGTGTCTGTGAAGCGGGGTTTGACTATGAATTGGGTACATCTAGTTTAAAGCATTCCCGATTAAAAATATCTTCAACCAGGATTTAAAGTAAATATTCTAATATTTTTATCATTGTGTCAGCGGATATAACTTGCGTCAGGGGCTGCGTCAGGGTCTTTTGTTCAGTGGAGGGACGTGGGCGTGAAGGGGGTGTGTCTTAGGCTGGTCTGTTTGAGGCCACGATGACTTCGGTCAGTGGAAGTCTATCGATCTACCCCGAGTGGGGTAGTACTTGGTGTAAGACTGCCCAAAATGTCCCGGGCCACCGCCCACCACTGTCGGTGCTGTAGTGGTTGTACTCTAGTAGACACGATGATACCTGTAGTGGCTGTAGTAGCCGTAGTACCTGTAGTAGCCGTAGTACCTGTAGTAGCACCTGTAGTAGCTGTAGTAGCCGTAGTACCTGTAGTAGCCGTAGTAGCTGTAGTAGCACCTGTAGTAGCTGTTGTAGCCGTAGTACCTGTAGTAGCTGTAGTACCTGTAGTAGCTGTAGTACCTGTAGTAGCTGTAGTAGCACCTGTAGTAGCTGTAGTAGCCGTAGTACCTGTAGTAGCTGTAGTAGCTGTAGTAGTCGTAGTAGCTGTAGTACCTGTAGTACCTGTAGTACCTGTAGTAGCTGTAGTAGCCGTAGTAGCTGTAGTAGCTGTAGTACCTGTAGTAGCTATAGTAGCCGTAGTAGCTGTAGTACCTGTAGTACCTGTAGTACCTGTAGTACCTGTAGTAGCCGTAGTAGCTGTAGTAGCTGTAGTACCTGTAGTAGCTGTAGTAGCTGTAGTACCTGTAGTAGGTGTAGTAGCTGTAGTAGCTGTAGTAGCCGTAGTAGCTGTAGTAGCTGTAGTAGCTGTAGCACCTGTAGTAGCTGTTGTAGCCGTAGTACCTGTAGTAGCTGTAGTAGGTGTAGTAGCTGTAGTAGCTGTAGTAGCCGTAGTAGCCGTAGTAGCTGTAGTAGCTGTAGTAGCTGTAGTAGCTGTAGTAGCTGTAGTAGCTGTAGTACCCGTAGTACCCGTAGTACCTGTAGTAGGTGTAGTAGCTGTAGTAGCTGTAGTGTAGCCTGTGTAGTAGCCGTAGCCTGTAGTAGCTGTAGTAGCTGTAGTGCCTGTAGTAGCTGTAGTAGCTGTAGTACCCGTGGTAGCTGTAGTACCTGTAGTAGTAGGTGTAGTAGCTGTAGTACCTGTAGTAGCTGTAGTAGCTGTAGTAGCCTGTAGTACCTGTAGTAGGTGTAGTAGCTGTAGTAGCTGTAGTACCCGTAGTAGCCGTAGTAGCTGTAGTAGCTGTAGTACCTGTAGTACCTGTAGTAGCGTAGTACCCGTAGTAGCTGTAGTAGCTGTAGTAGCCGTAGTAGCTGTAGTAGCCGTAGTAGCTGTAGTACCTGTAGTACCTGTAGTAGTAGTAGCTGTAGTACCTGTAGTACCTGTAGTAGCTGTAGTAGCTGTAGTAGCTGTAGTACCTGTAGTACCTGTAGTAGTGTAGTAGCTGTAGTAGCTGTAGTACCTGTAGTACCTGTAGTAGTAGGTGCCTGTAGTACCTGTAGTAGCCTGTAGTAGCTGTAGTAGCTGTAGTACCTGTAGTACCTGTAGTAGCCGTAGTAGCTGTAGTAGCTGTAGTACCTGTAGTAGCTGTAGTAGCTGTAGTACCTGTAGTAGGTGTAGTAGCTGTAGTAGCTGTAGTAGCCGTAGTAGCTGTAGTAGCTGTAGTAGCTGTAGTAGCTGTAGTAGCTGTAGTACCTGTAGTACCCGTAGTAGCTGTAGTACCTGTAGTAGGTGTAGTAGCTGTAGTAGCTGTAGTAGCCGTAGTAGCCGTAGTAGCTGTAGTAGCTGTAGTAGCTGTAGTAGCTGTAGTAGCTGTAGTAGCTGTAGTACCTGTAGTACCCGTAGTACCTGTAGTACCTGTAGTAGGTGTAGTAGCTGTAGTAGCTGTAGTAGCTGTAGTAGCCGTAGTAGCGGTAGTGCCTGTAGTGCCTGTAGTACCTGTAGTAGCTGCAGTAGCCGTAGTAGCTGTAGTAGCTGTAGTACCTGTAGTAGCTGTAGTAGCTGTAGTACCTGTGGTAGCTGTAGTAGCTGTAGTAGCTGTAGTAGCCGTAGTAGCGGTAGTAGCTGTAGTACTTGTAGTACTTGTAGTACCTGTAGTACCTGTAGTACCTGTAGTAGCTGTAGTAGCTGTAGTACCTGTAGTAGCCGTAGTAGCTGTAGTAGCTGTAGTACCTGTAGTACCTGTAGTAGCTGTAGTAGCTGTAGTAGCTGTAGTAGCTGTATTAGCTGTAGTACCTGTGGTAGCTGTAGTACCTGTAGTAGCTGTAGTAGCTGTAGTAGCCGTAGTAGCTGTGGTAGCCGTAGTACCTGTAGTAGCTGTAGTAGCTGTAGTAGCTGTATTACCTGTAGTAGCTGTAGTACCTGTAGTACCTGTAGTACCTGTAGTAGCTGTAGTAGCTGTAGTAGCTGTAGTAGCTGTAGTAGCTGTAGTACCTGTAGTACCTGTAGTAGCCGTAGTAGCTGTAGTAGCTGTAGTACCTGTAGTAGGTGTAGTACCTGTAGTAGCTGTAGTAGCTGTAGTAGGTGTAGTAACTGTAGTAGCTGTAGTAGGTGTAGTAACTGTAGTAGCTGTAGTGTCTGTAGTAGGTGTAGTAGCTGTAGTAGGTGTAGTACCTGTAAATAGTAAATAGTAATAAATTGCTTTATTTGCATGACCGCATCATTTTACAGTATTGCAAACGCATGTATATGACAATCAAAATATAAAACAAAACAGCGCTAATAATAATCTAGAAAAATTCGGTTACATTACTAACAATGAATCACGTATTTTCATGCAGGAGGAAACAAACTTCATAACTAACTTATTTACATGATGTTCCTTCGAATTCATTATCAGTTTTATGCTTTCTTGAAATGATTTCTTGTCAAAGTCAGGTATTATTCGATTGATTTGATTAATAAATGCCTGTCTCTGTACTGAGTATTTGTTACATTGAAAGAGGAAATGAATCTCATCTTCTACCTGATTTGAGTTACATAAAGGACATAATCTATTTTCTCCTGGCAAATGATCGATTTGGTATCGACCATGTTCAATCATAAGTTTGTGATTACTTATTTTAAATTTAACAAAATTCTGTCGTTCGTCATAATGTCTTAGCTGGTAGAGATAATCAGATGTAGAATATTCATCTTTAAAAGTTTTATAAAATTCTAGTTTTTTTGAATTTTCGAGGCTGTGCCGCCAAAAAGATAGATCTTTCTATCTCATTTCTGTGGTATATCGTCTAATTTTATCATTATCTAGAGATTCAGCATCTAAACTGGTTAGATTGTATTGTTCAAGCATGTTTATGAAATTGGAAAAATATCCGGAATTATTCATAGAATGTAGATTCTTTGACATAAGGACTATAGAGTCATTATCTTTTTTGTTGAGGTAAACAAAATATTTCATAATTTTCTGATTTATCGGGATAAGCAGCGGCAGTCTATCAAGTTCAGCTCTGCAGGCTATGTTAGAGGCCTTATTGTTAACCTCTAAGTAACGTTTACAGAATTTGAGGTGGATTTTTTCTATTGGGTAGCTATCCCATTTTTTAAAATCTTGCTTGGTATACATTCCCCATACCTCGCTGTTGTAACTCAAGATTGGGAATACCATGGTGTCAAAAATTTGGGATGCAGTATTAGGATTAAGTTTGTTAAGAATTGTCCGCTTCCGAATACTGGAAAACGCGTGAAGGGCCTTTTCTTTTAAGTGTTCGAGTGCAAGTGTAAAGTTTCCCGTTGGAGTTAAACGTGTACCTAAATAAGTGTATTCTTGGACAATTTCAATTGACTCACTGCCTATGTTGAATTTGATGTCAATAGATTTTTTTTGGGCGTTTCTGGAATATCATAATTTTTGTTTTCTTCGGATTAATTTTTAGCTTCCATTTGTCACAATACAAAGAAAGCGCATTTAAACAGTTCTGTAATCCAGTTTTCGATCTTGATAGAATAACTAAATCATCTGCGTACAAAAGTGAATTTATTTTTTTCCCATTTGGGAGAACAAATGGGTCAGATAAGGTGTTTTCGAATAAAAGTGGTAGATTGTTTAAATAGAGGTTAAATAAAAGAGGACTTAAAATACAGCCTTGACGTACACCTCTGGAATATGAAAAAGGCTGTGTTTTGTTTTCACCTATTTTGATGGAACATGTCGAGTTGCATTAAAAACTTTTCATGAGGTTGTACAAGTTTCCTCCTATATTCGTTTTTAGCAGCTTATAAAACAATCCTTCATGCCAAACAGAGTCAAACGCCTTGCGGAAATCTACGAAACAAGCGTAGACTTTTTCCTTGTGATAATGCACATATTTATCTATTAGGGGCCTTAGAGTGAAAACATGGTCTGCAGTGCGGTTTTCAGGCAAAAAGCCAATTTGGGAATTATGTAATATCTTATTTTCCTCAAAATACAAGTGAAGTCTTCGATTTAAAATAGAACAGAACAATTTTCCAAGGCAAGTAGAAACACATATGCCTCTGTAATTTGTTGGATCACTCTTGTCACCAGATTTGTAAATTGGGGTTATGAGGCCTTGACACCAAACATCTGGCATTTTTCCGGATTGTAAAATGAGGTTAAAAAGTTTGACATAGACAGGCATTAGTGGTTCGAGGCTTGCTTTGATCATTTCATTTCGTATTTTGTCAACAAATGGTGATTTCTTATTTTTCAATTTCTTCGCCGCTTGACGTATTTCCCTCTCAGTTATCTCATAATCGAGATGGTTAAACTGTTCCTTTTCGTGTTCTAAAGAATTTAGTTCCCGATGGATTTCATGTTCATGCGTGGAATTCGTCGGGTCAATAGAATGAAGAGATTTGAAATGGTGAAGCCATGATTCTTCCGAGATTGGGGCAGGAAGGAAGGTAGGGTAGGTAGGTAGGTAGGTTGGGGCAGGTACCTGTAGTACCTGTAGTAGCTGTAGCAGCCTTAGTAGGGGCGTCCAGTGGTGTAAGGAATTGTAAAGATTCCTTTCTACCTTCCAGCCAATTTTCCAAGCATTCATATCGACTAGTCTCTCTTTCAAGTGCCGCTGGACCGCATGAAGGAATCTAGACCGTTATTAGCAGCAGAGTGGCCAATGCGTAATATAAAAATTTGATGAATAAAAATACGAAAGCTGTTGAGTATACATTTTTGCGGAAAATTAGCTTAAGCGGGCTTCAAAGCTATTTCGCATTATTTCGGGTTCAACGGGCTTATCGATTTAGTCAATCGACCAAACTTGGAGAATTATTAGGAGTAAGCCAGTGAAACCGAGTCCATACTCAAAGGGATTAATATAAACTACGGTCGATTTCATGGTCGAGAGAATATATAGAATATAAATGTAGGTATGTGAGTCCTGAATGGAACCTTCTACAAAGTACGATTTGCGCAAGCTTATGAAAGGAACGTCAAGGTTCACACATATTTGATCAAGTTAGTGATATATAGAAATATTTTCTAGCTTTTATCTTTTTACGCGACCTCTCTTGTTCTTACGACTGGGGTGTCCCATGCTCAATTGCACAAAATTGACCCGGCGAGGCTACTAGGGGCACCCAAAGACAATTTTCTGCGAAATATCTGTTCGGAGAAGCAAATATTGCCACGAATTTTCTTTTGCTTGAGGAAGACTAAAAATTTCTAGATGGACCTTCCATTCATAAACAATTTTCGATGCTTTATACCTAATAAATTCCCAACGAATTCTGATTTTTAATGTTTCAAAATCAGTTCCAACGTTACAATATTTTCCTTTTATTTTTTTTTTTTTTTGGATTCTAAAATGTGATGGGGAGAGGTAAGCAGAAAAATCATCAGTTTCGTAAATCGTTAAATTGCAACTAAAATTTTCGAAAAAGTAACACTGAAGCCTTTGTAATTTTGAAAACTGACTTAAGTTCCTCTAGGATGACCGGTCAGACCGGTAGGGCTTTCCATAAGTTGTTCGGGATTTTCCAAAAAGTTTCTCATTATTTCTCAAACAAATGCTCAAAAGTTGCCAAAAACAATCAAAAGTTGCTTATTGCAACAAAACTTACTCAAAAGTTGCTCGAAAAACAAAATGTTTGTTTGGCCTGAAGTTATGAAAATATGCAAATTGTACAAACAAAAGTACCATTCCTTAGCATTTTTGTGCAATTTTTCAGCGCAACCAACTTTGCTTAATAACTTTGTCCGGAGTTAAAATCAAGAAAGAAATGTAATGAGCCAAGAAAAATGCTTAATGACTTTCTTCACCCGAGACACTCGAGTCAGTCGAGTGAGAATCTGCGTCAATCATTTAAAATTTTCCGTAAAGACCGCAGACTTATCTTGCGCCCTTAATGTGCCTCAGGGGAGGAGTATTTGTCTCCTTTTTTCTACTGGTAATTTGCAAATTGTATACAAAACATTGTGAAATATGGAACAAAGGCTAATTTAAACACTAAGAGCTGCTCCGATATCACAGAGTTAGATGACAAAGTTCTAGAGAAATCTTAATAAAAAAGCCAATAGTTGCTATATAGGAAAGAAGTTGTTCGAAATACGAGAAGTTGCCAAAAAGTTGCCGAGCAACTTGTGGCCTGCTTGTGGGAAACTCTAATGACCTAAACGATAACAATTTTGTATTGCCGCTTAGAATGCATTTCTAGGGCGCAGAAAAGAAAACTCTGGACAGCGTAAAAAGTGTTTCCAACGTACTTTAAAGGAGACAGTTTTTGGGTGCCCCTGAGGCTTTCACCCTTTACTATGTGACATCACGACACTGGAAAGCGAGTCCGGAAACGTAGTTGGAAAACAATATATTCACCTTCCCCACCCCCTTCTCACGACTTTAAGACGACCGAGTGTGACTGACTGGAAAAAGCCAACAGAAAGACTCGTATTCAAATGTAAAAAACTTTTATTGCCACATTTATCGATAACAAGAGCCATTGGCTCTTTTCCATAACTAATGATCAGCTGCTTTTCTTAAAAATTGAAATTATTCTTATTGAAGTCTCTACCTAAGTAATGGGAAACTCATAATCTTCTCGAGCCAACCGCTGCTCTACTCGCAGAATCTTTTTTTTCGTTGTCTTTGCTATGCTATTACTCAAAACAATTCTTTCAACAATCTGTCATTTCCAGGGACATCAAGATTTTAAATCAAGACGAACATTCTAGAAATTAAAGGAATGTTTGCCAACAAAACATAAGAAAGTAATCTATACAAACAATAAAAGAAATATGTAATAAGCATAAAAACGCTAATGACGATAGAATAATACCTTTTCAATGAATTTATCTACATTTCTGTTCGCAAAATTGAAGCTTGAAACAAATGTTGGTAATTTTGGTATTTTGGGAAGGTTTAGAACTTCAGCTCCGAAATTTCATTTCCCCATCAGCTCTTTATTCTTTTATTTATGTTTACAATATAAAATATGCGCATGAATAGGCGCATGAACGATTTTCAACGATTTCTCTACACGGCTAGCTAGGCAATTATCCGCTCAAAGACTAAATCTTAGGCTCCATTCACACCAAAGCTTGAAGAGTCCTTAAACATGTTTAAAAGCGGTTAAACTAAAACGGTTTGTGATTGTTTACTGCACTTTTATCATTTTCAAAATTTTGCGAAGATTACTCAACGTCTTGAATTTAATTCATTTTAATCCTTGTAGAACCCTGTGTTCCTTTTTAACCTAGGGATTTTACTTATTAAACATGTCTATTCGGTGTGAATGGTTCCTTTTGTTACTTATATCAGTTACTCTCTTCCTTTTCTTTTTTTCGGTAATCGGGAAGAAAAATGGCTGAGGTCGTCACTCAGCTTCTCTACTTCTGTTTTCCCTGCAAGAAAGAAGGAAGAAAAATTGTTTTCATCGAAGCTTCCAAACTTTCAATTAATCCGATGTTTGAAAAGTAATATTATAGCAGTATTAAGTCAAGGTTGCTTTATGGGGAGATCCAATGTGATAGGAATGGACCTCTGTTCAGTTTATTTATAGTACAATAGCTGAGCATTAATATATTAACTTGCCTCTCTTCCTAGGTTCCAGCCGTCGTGTGGCCCCTGGTTCCTCAATGTCTCTTCCATCCTCTTTGTCCCCGCATTCGTGTCTTTCTTCGCCATTTCCTTTTGCGCTGCTCTCCTCGCTGCCTCCTTTAGGTACATCTGCATCAGTTTCTCCTTCGCTGTTATTGCTACTTTCTCCTGCACTATTTTCGCTACTTTCTGCGTCGTTGTCGTCGCTACTTTCTCCGCTCTCTTCGCCACCACTGCCCCCGTTCTCTTCATTTCCACTGGCGCCTTCTCCGACGTCATTGCTTATTACTTCTACTACTTCTCCTGACCCTGTGACGAAAAAGTTATCTTTTTAACTTGAGAAAAAGTTACAGTCCGATTACACACTTTACTCTGTTAGTCACACCGAAATTGGTGATAGTAAGAAAATTTAGTACTAATGTCCGTATGAAGCGGGCTAGTAAGGAAAAACGTCATATAAACATCATTGATCAACATAGATACACAAAGGAACAAAACTGAAGCATGATAAGCCTAAAAAAAAAGAAACTTGTGCAATAGGGTTCAAATACAAAAAGAAATACAATGGTTACCAAAACCAAACATCTCACGCTATCTGAAACGCCTAATTATTAAACATGTCTCTAGTTGGTTCGTTTACTGTCAGGTGACCAGCCAATTGTACTTTTTCCCAATATGTATACTAGGGAGCGGATATTCTGAATTTTATCAAAAACGGTACCGTAATAATTTTTTTTAAAGAAATATTAGGTGCTTTCAAGAGCCATATATACAGCCCATTAAGGCTCTTTCCCCAAATTTTAAAATTGAAATTTTTCGAACGACTACAACTTTAAAATCATCCTTTTCAAATTTCAGCTAATGCTCACAACTGCAATTTTATAATGGTCACTTGAGGTCTTTAAATTTATTTCCTAACGCTGAATATACATCTACATTATCAATTGCGGATCAATCATTTCTTGGCATAAACTTAACTGGTTTATATCAAAAAATAACAATTCTTAATATATAAATCAAAACACTTCTACATAACGTAATGTCGTAATCACGTTTGAAAATAGCTGTCATTGTCTAACCTTCTTCTGGTTTCTTTAAGGCTGAAAAAGAAAACAAAAAAGAAGATTTACAGGAGACTTCTTTTGTGGGAATTGCAGTTGGCTCCCTGGCTCACTTACAGCTACTACAGGTACTACGGCTACTACAGCTACTACAGGTACTACGGCTACTACAGCTACTACAGGTACTACGGCTACTACAGCTACTACACCTACTACCGGTACTACAGCTACTACAGCTACTACGGCTACTACAGCTACTACAGCTACTACAGGTACTACAGCTACCACAGGTACTACAGCTACTACAGCTACTACAGCTACTACAGCTACTTCAGCTACTACAGCTACTACGGCTACTACAGGTACTACAGCTACCACAGGTACTACACCTACTACAGCTACTACAGGTACTACAGGTTCTACAGCTACTACAGCTACTACGGCTACTGCAGCTACTACAGGTACTACAGCTACTACAGCTACTACAGGTACTACAGGTACTACAGCTACTACAGCTACTACGGCTACTGCAGCTACTACAGGTACTACAGGTACTACAGCTACTACCGCTACTACGGCTACTACAGCTACTACAGCTACTACAGCTACTACACCTACTACAGCTACTACAGGTACTACGGGTACTACAGGTACTACAGCTACTACAGCTACTACAGGTACTACAGCTACTACAGCTACTACGGCTACTACAGCTACTACAGGTACTATGGCTACTACAGATACTACAGCTACTACAGCTACTACGGCTACTACAGCTACTACAGCTACTACAGCTACTACAGCTACTACAGCTACTACAGGTACTACAGGTACTACAGCTACTACAGGTACTACAGCTACTACAGGTACTACATCTACTACAGGTACTACAGCTACTACGGCTACTACAGCTACTACAGGTACTACGGCTACTACAGCTACTACACCTACTACCGGTACTACAGCTACTACAGCTACTACACCTACTACCGGTACTACAGCTACTACAGGTACTACAGGTACTACAGCTACTACAGCTACTACAGGTACTACAGCTACTACAGCTACTACAGGTACTACAGGTACTACAGCTACTACGGCTACTACAGCTACTACGGGTACTACAGGTACTACAGGTACTACAGCTACTACGGCTACTACAGCTACTACAGCTACTACAGCTACTACGGCTACTACAGCTACTACAGCTGCTACTACAGCTACTACAGGTACTACAGCTACTACAGGTACTACAGCTACTACAGGTACTACGGCTACAACAGCTACTACAGGTGCTACTACAGCTACTACGGCTACTACAGGTACTACGGCTACAACAGCTACTACAGGTGCTACTACAGCTACTACGGCTACTACAGGTACTACGGCTACTACAGCTACTACAGGTACTACGGCGACTACAGCTACTACAGGTGCTACTACAGCTACTACAGCTACTACAGCTACTACAGGTACTACGGCTACTACAGCTACTACAGGTACTACAGCTACTACGGCTACTACAGCTACTACAGGTACTACAGCTACTACAGGTACTACAGCTACTACGGCTACTACAGCTACTACAGCTACTACAGGTACTACGGCTACTACAGCTACTACAGGTGCTACTACAGCTACTACAGGTACTACAGCTACTACAGGTACTACAGCTACTACAGGTACTACGGCTACAACAGCTACTACAGGTGCTACTACAGCTACTACGGCTACTACAGGTACTACGGCTACAACAGCTACTACAGGTGCTACTACAGCTACTACGGCTACTACAGGTACTACGGCTACTACAGCTACTACAGGTGCTACTACAGGTACTACGGCTACTACAGGTACTACGGCTACTACAGCCACTACAGGTATCATCGTGTCTACTAGGGTACAACCACTACAGCACCGACAGTGGTGGGCGGTGGCCCGGGACATTTTGGGCAGTCTTACACCAAGTACTACCCCGAGTGATCTCAACATGGCTCTCTCGAGGTAAGTAACAGCTTTTATTTCTTGTTTTAGAGGTTATTGGAAGCTACCATTCGAGACAAAATTATATATTTGGCAGACAGGCACCTTATTATGTCAAGAGTTTTAATAAATTATCTCTAAAACATCAAGGGAAAGTTCAAATATACGCTGATGTTCAGTGTAGCATTTCAGCTTTAATACAAAAACCTTTCTTATAAAATGAAAGATAATTTGATGATCGCGAACGTGATGCCAGGAACACGGGGACTCTAGGCAATTACTTCATTGGAACTAGCTGGGCATACACGTTTGCAAAATGTCATTGTTTGTCCGTGTCTTGTAGATCAATTTCAGTTTCTGCCTAGGCTGTGGTTCACACAGGCAAACCACCGGCAACGTGTGATTACAATAAAACTTTGGCTCAACCTCGTTCTCGTACAATTGTTGAGAGCTTAATGGGATTAACCGTCAACCGTCAAAAAAGGTTATATTTTACGATCAGCTGTCAAAAATGCAATGTAATGTTACTGCGCTTTTCAAAAACACACAAATTCTGAAGTTCAAAAGCCAGGTGACGTTTGCATTTTTCACTGCTGTCAGTCATCTTAGCAGACCTCTTAGGAAACAGATGTTTACTTTAAAGGGTTCAAAAGGTCATGGTTTGTGATTTTTGATTGGTGGATTTCGATGCCTTTTGTGTGTTTTTGTGTTTCAGGATTCATTTTTTGTGATCGTTTTATGATTGACGGCAGCAAAAAATACAATAATTGTGAAGGCCTGCGGCTTTTGGACTTCAGAGTTCACACGTTTTTGAAAAGCACAGTAACCATCAACTTTTCAAGGTATTTCAAGTCTCTCTATTTCAGCTGATCTTCAAAGACTTTTGGCTCCTGAGGAATCTCTTAACTGGAACAACCACAGGCCACGTTCTCAAAATCACTCTCTCTGAACATTAAAAGACCTTACAACTTTCTTTATCTTAAAATATTTCAAACTTTTAAATGTGAAAGGCCAAGGTAAAAGTTAGTATTTACTTCATTTCTTGGACTAAATTTTCACTAAACAACCATCACTCATCAAAAACCCTAAAATTTAGCCGTCAACTGTCAAAATTGGATAAAAATAACCATCAAACTTCAAAGCTACTACCCCATTGAGACCCTCACAGTTATTGCTCATTATTGATCTTAAAAAAATTCTGTTATCCCTCTACAGGCTGTTGTGTCCACAACATATCATTTCTGGGATTGTATGAAGCAAGAAAATTAATACTGCAGGCATTGTCAGTAGTCCCTGCATACAGCATTGTGCAAAGTATGTGGAGAATTAGTTCAGTATTCTCACTAAGAAACTTGCAACACACCATAAAAAGAAGCAACCTTAACACTGTAAGACTATACCATGCAGAAAAAGGCTGCTTTGGATATAGACCCTCCTTACAGGTCACGGATAGAGGTAAGTGTACATGTATGCATGTGTATAGATTACAGGACATAATCATAACTATAACAAAATTCTCAAATCTGATTGGCTATCAACTGTCCTGACTTCAGTCTTAATAGGACAGTTTAATAGGATAGTACGCATCATCACGCACGCCCTTAAATGGCTCTTTTTTTCACTACTACCAAAAAAAAATTGGAATTTCTTGTGTTTTGATTTAAAAAAGAACCTTTTCACAAAAATTGTGTTTAAGTTATGATTAATTGGTGACAGAACTTCGCGTCGTCCAATTCGGTCTGTAATCATACTCATGATAAACAAATCGGACTCCTGCTATGCAGACGTCCAATTTTGTTAATCACTCATATGATTACAGACCAAATTGGACTCCACTCTGTCCTGCTAATTCAAGAATGCAGAAAAATGTACCGGGGTCAAATTTTAAAAAAATCATGGCTTACAGGTAGCCTTGTCCTATTTGTCAAATGCAAATTATTGTGCAATCAAAAATGACATTTGAAGGTCAGCTGAAAACCTGAAAAAAAATGAGATTTAAGTTATGGATGCACACGCCTTCCTTGAGGTAACAATGCTTTTATATAATATATAACTTATAGGTAGTGAAGAAGCCGTACAAAACAGAATAAAAAATGCTGATATTTTAAGACTGGTGACTGCTTATAGAGAACATGGATACAAAAATGCTGATATAGACCCATTAAACACGCTAAAAAGGTGAGTTTTTTTGCTTGATGTTGTAAACTGGTTAATTTGCCCGCAAACAATTTTTTCTTAACCTGACATATTGAGGTTATTAATTTTGGCACTATTTTCGACATATAGGGATTCTAAAGAGCTTTCTTTGGAACGATTTGGTTTGGATAATGTTGATGTTAACAAGACTTTCAAATTATCAGGTACATGTACTGGCATAAGGGAATTTTATTGTAATATCTTTAATACTCTACTCCTTTGAAGGGCCTCCAATGATTTTTCTCATATTTGCCAGCAGCTAATCCATCAGCTTGCCAATATGTTAATTGTGCCACTAGACTTCAAGTTTTGCGACCTGAAACATGTTATCTTATCGGCTGATAATTATTGTTACATATGTTCATGTATAGACACTTTGAAAATTAAATTAGCATTAATTAAAAGTAAGTATATTTTGAGATAAACATTGTTACTTATTTATTAACTAGTAAGTAGTTAGTAGAATTACTTGTAACTTTAATCTTGAGACTGAGAAAGGCTCAAAAGTATACATGACTGTAACAATGTTCTACTTTCTAAAACAACCATTTTCCTTCAGTGCTTTTCCTGTACCTTATAACTTTCTCACTGGCCATTCCTGCAACAATTGTGGTACATTTACATGTATGTCAGACAATTTTCATGTGTCCACCCTGCTCAGACACGTTTTCATTGCAATGGATGATAACACATGAAAATTGTGGACAAATGGTTTGCTTCTACAGACGTTGGGGCTGACACCCCCATTGTTTATTTTGGGAATCATGATTCTTGATCCCACTTGCTTTGACTATGAGTTCTTTGCTTGCCTTAATTCTTGATTTGTTTTGTAGGTTTGTTAAACTGTAATGGACTGGAAGAAGCCTCTCTCACAGAAATTCTTCCACACTTAGAAAGAGCCTACTGTGGACAGTTGTCAGTTGAGATACAGCACATTGTGGTATGAAAAGAAAAACACTGTCAATCATCAAATTACAATGCATTGTACAGAGTGACATGTTAGTGGCAGATTAAAACTCAGCTACATCCTTGTTGGACACTAAACCCATGTGAAAGGTTCCCTTTTAGTACACAATGAGAGGTGTAGCCCTTTGACAGATTCTCAGTGCTCGTGACTAGAGGCTTTCCACTCTCTTAAGGGAAATGGTTACGGTTTACCATTCTCTATTGAATGAACATAACTCCTTATTGGAAGTGTTACTTGTATGCTGTGTAGTCATGTTTCACATTTTGCCTGGGCATGTCATAAATATCAGACTTATGATCTGAAATCTTTAGGTCTGAGCCTTGCCATCAAGTTCTTTTCATTGGAAAAGAAACTTTGTTCCACGTTTATTGCTGGATACTGTTGGAGGGAACCTGGCAATGGGGACTAGAAATCCATTCGGGTAGCCTCCCACGCAGGCGTTTTTAGGGAAGCACGTATTTCTTCCCTTCCCACAAATGCCTGCTCAACCGTTGGAGAACAACATTCCTTTTTCAATCTTAGCTAATCACATTGTACCTTCCAAATTCTGGAAGGTTGACCTTGACCGCAGGGTTACCCCCATAATTACTCGATCTGCATGAAACAATGGGAAAGCTTAATGACCTCTTAATACATGTTAGACTCAGAATGGCAAAAGTAACATTTAGTCAGATTTTAGAATACATGATTGTACTCAGTGTGCTGTATAACCTTAGCAAAGGAAAGAAAAGAAGGAAAAAGGTAAATCTAGGGTCTCATTTTCACACTATCACAAGCGTATCACTTTTGTTTAGCCTGTCATGATCAACACTTTATTTCAAAACTGTTCATTGGTCACATACCATGTGAATAAAACAGTGGGAAAGGAATGTTGTTCCCGGTTGAGCAGGCGCTTGTAGAAGGGACGAAATACAAGCTGCCCTAACAGCGACTGCGTGGAATGCGACCATCCATGGGGCTGTAGCGTAGTGTGCTCCAGCCATTTGAGTCCTAATAGAGTGTTTTCACATGACATCACGGCGGCCATATTGGTGTCCCAAAACAATGAAACGGCGGCCATGTTGGTGTCCCAAACCAGTCCTCTGGGAGTTGAACTTGTTTCTTATGCAAACGCTTTCTTTTGTTCCAATAAATTTGCATATATGCTTGCCAAGTGAGTGAAAAACACTCTATAGTTTGTAGTGTACGTTTAAATATACCTCATGGGACATTAAATTTTGCCATGAAAGGTTTTCCTGTGTCCGTCATGGAAGTTGTCTACTAATTGGCCTGTTGTAGATGCGTCCATATTTTTTTGGTACGTCTTTCTGTACGCAAAGGTGTCCCATTTTGGGAAATGTTTCTAAACATGGATGTCTACTCTTTTATGAGTTTGGTCCTTATACAAGTGTGTCCTTTTCAAGGCATTGTCCCCAAGGGGGGAGGGGGGTACTTGGGTATGTGCTGCTGGCCTCTCAGAGCCCCTCCTCCATCCATTAAAGTCTATTATGTGGCCAATTATAGACCCCATCTAATAATAGTCACTTTTGAGCAAATATGTAATTTTCGCGATCCCAACTTAGTCACTTTCTATTTTGATGAATTGACCCATTTTTTAGATTGAATAAAGAACACTTTACTTTTCGTCTGCAGTAGAAACATTCTGGTACGTTTGCTAACCGAAAAAATGAAGAGCCGTCTTACCCCAAAAATTCCGAAAATGTGCGACCCCATTCTAGTAACTCTATTAAAAATGGGTTCCTATTGTAGTCAATCCAGCAGTGAAAATGCGACACCATTCAGCGGCACATCCCCAATAGCCTCTTATAAGGAAGGCCCCCGGGAAATTGTCTCCCTATAAAATGAGAATGTGTTTCTGATGTTGTGGGGGGATGTAAAATTTTATCCATGCCAATGATTTTTTTCCCTTAGAAAGGACATCTGTTCCACCAGCTCATTGTTTTAGTCGAACGAACCAGAAAAGTTGTCAAACATCATACATAAAATAATGTTGCCTTCAAGCGAAAATCTTATGCCTTGACCTCTATGTTTTCAGGATGAATCAGAAAGGCTATGGCTTGCAGGGTTGATTGAAGAAAGTGTTCACTGGACATTAGAAGCAGATAGACAGGCACACCTTGCTAAACTCTTATTAAGGTCTCAGGTGGGTACGATAACCGGTCAAGTCGCCCGAAAGAAGAGTTAAGAGCGGTCCGGTCAATTTTGCTTGAGACACAGATTTAGCTCATTTCTTGTGTGTTGTAAGACATTCATGTACCTATACTAAAACCACAATCCGTTTGATCGGATCTCTTTATTTTTCAGAGTTTTACGGAAATTAAATTTCACTCGAGCGAAGGCCTGTCGTGACACTTTTCGAGACTTTAATTTGAGACAACTTTGGGGGACAATTTACAAAAAAGTACGGGACTCAGCGAAAATAAAATACCACAGACATGTATATTAACTTTATCTTATCCATCGAGGCGACTTTCGTGAACATCACGTTTCAATCAAGCAAACAGGAAGACTTGAACGACACCTTATCGGTTCGCTTAAGTCACACACGCGAAAACCGATCAAATTCAAGGTACATTTTGGAAAAAGTGAGGCGTTCTTAACTGATCCAACTAAATGGCTAGGAAGTAGGTGCCATAGAAAAGGTAACTACAGAAAAAAACTTTGCGGCCCGACCTTTACTAAAACTTTATAACTCCGTGAACTTACCTAATTTTCGACGATCTCCAAGTTTTGCAGCCATTTTGAAGGACTTGTCAACATGAAGCGTAGCAGATATAAATCGAGCAGGTAGATCTAAAACCGTCAGAAATACATACCAAAGCATTCAAATGAACTTCACTTTCAATTCAAGGGACAAAATTTGAAATTGTTCGTTAAACCTACCACTCCTACATCCCCATTCTAGCATTTCTTCCAAAAATTCACTGGCACTACAACTAGTGTTCGAATTTCCCTCGTCGATTCCACCGTAAGAAATAACCTGTGCCACTCAAGCTTCGACTCGAATGTGAAGTACGAATCAAACAACATAACTGCGTCATCTTCGAGGCCATATCACGCTGGTATTTTGATTTTCTGATCGACAAGAACGGTGATCAGGAAGTGATCGCCATGTTTACCTCATAAACGTGACCGCTGACCAGCCGCTGAGTGAAAACAGTACGGCGCGGGGTGGGGTGGAGGACTTTTCGCCATAAGATATTCGAATACATGCTAAAAAAGCTTTAGGAGTCTCAGTCTAAACAGTGAAGGTATGCTTCGTGGTACAGACAACTTTTATTTTATTCTCATAACTTTTTCTTTTAAATTGGAACTGGTATTAATTACTAGAGTTATTTAAATATTTTTAACCGAGGTACCCATATGACCTTTTTGCTTGTCCTCAGTGGTATAAAATAAGGTGTCTTTTCTTCCAGAACCTTTTATTTATGCGTTATTTGCACAGAATAAACACTATACGTAGAAGGTTTGTTCTAAATCATTTTTGCTGTTCCCAAGAATGTACAGTGGAATCCCGTTACTAAGACCACCTTCGGGCCATGGAAATTTGGTCGTATTAACGGGGTGGTCGTAAATTATGGTGCAAAATGCTTTTAAACTACATTCTACTACATTTATACCTTTAATCCGCTATAAATCAACCAACCTTTTGGCAGTTAATAAAACAACCTTACAACCGCTATTCAATGCAAGTCAACAATGTAACAGTAAACGAAACCGAGTAATGAGAAAAAACACTGACTTCTTTCAGTTTAATTTTCTTGTTTTCAAAGGAAGGGGCTTGTGAAATGTGGGGGAGGATACGGGATGGAAATCCCATGCGTTTACAAGTTTACTGGACAGCCAAGAAAGGTTGATGTGCTTAACAAATTATTAGACATTCCAAATAACCAATCTGTGAGAAAAGAACAGGAAATGGACTCGAAGAGAAAAGCCACAGTGGAAGGCAGCAGAAACAAGAAGGCAAAATAACTTTGAGAGCCTCGAAATTCTGCAAAGTGAAGTCTTTCAGATCTTTTGTATTATTTATTCATGCATTCTTTTTACTGAACAAAACATCCAATAAAATATTAGTAATGCGTTATTGTTGTCAGATTGTGTCTGTTTTCATTCAGCAGCCCCACCAAGCATTTTGACTGGTCGTATTAACGGGGTAATTTGTAAAGAAAATAACGACTTAGGGCTCCCAAAGGTGGTCGTTGGTGGTAATAACGGGGTGGTCGGATTAACGGGGTTTTCAGATAAGAAAATGGGTGGGCTTGTGTTCGGGCCACAAAAAAGTAGTCGTAATAACGGGGTGGTCGTATTGACGGGGTGGTCGTATGGCGGGGTTCCACTGTATGCAAAATCATTGCTTTATACAAAGCTGTCTCTAAAATGTGATTTTCCGTAACAGTAACCAATGTCATTTACGTAAGGTTTTAATAAAACTAGCAATGTACAATTTTTAGCGTTTTCCACTTATAAGCCTGACATACAATTGTCAAGTGTTATCCTCCTCTGCCTTCGGCCTCTGTGAATAACACCCTCCTCGATCTGCTTAATTCTTCATATCCTACTCAGCCTCATTCATTAATTATTGCTAAATGAACAACGAAACAGTTAGCGCGATAAATGAGTAATATACTATCTCGTTCTTTAACTTCGTCGTTTTCTCTCGTATAACCAGCCTGAAGACATGACGCAAATTCGTTAATGAATTTCTTGGAATTCATTTCTTATCAGGCATTTGACAACTTTCTCGCCAAGAAGTTCCCAACGGTAAAGCGATATGGTGGCGAAGGAGCAGAAAGCATGATGGCGTTTTTTGATGAACTCTTTCTTCAGTCCTCGCACTGTGAGTTTGATGTAATTATAATTAATTATGTTAATGTATTATTATTAATATTTGTCAAATTAAGGATCAGGTTTGTGGTCTGTCTTGACGTGCTCTGTCTACAGTTGTTGCATAATGGTGGATTTCCAATGCCGCGTAATATTAACGTGCGCGAAGAAAATTTACGTGCGCAAATAAGATAGAGACAAAGGTCGCGCGTAAACGTGAAAGTTGGGCAAGGTTCAACTTGAACTTTCGCACGCAACCTTTCATACATCTGTATTGTCTCTTACATTTACTTGCGTACGCACGTAAAAATACGGTTCATGTCAACTCGCTGGCTAGTCTGGATCGAAGGGTCCAAATTCACTGGCCGAGTTGAACAGCGAGGGTGCATTATCGTGATCGAGTTTGAACAGGGGGGACAGGGGGGGGGGATTGGGGCTCCTTAATCCGCTAGCTAGTATAATTTGGATGTGGAAGACCAAATATTGAATATTCCAAATCCGCCCGGACTCTGGAACCGAATTTGAAAGTTGGTGGTTCAAAGGATAGCTACTATCGACACTCAGTAAGTAAAAGACTGCCAACTAAACTAGAAGATCATTGCTAGCTTTATCTCTTTCTTTATCAAGAAATTAAACAATCCTACTCCGAAGATTTCTTTTATTATTGTTGTTTTATCGTTTCGCAGGTGAAATTCAAGAGATGATTTTAGGTATGCCGCATCGGGGAAGGCTTAATCTGCTGACAGGCCTCTTGAAATATCCAGCATCTCAAATGTTCAACAAGGTAAATATTATTTTGTTTTAGAGGAGCAGCTGAAATTCTAAGGTTACGGAAAAACTAAATTGTGAAAGGACAAAATGCGCTTTTAATACAATATTTTGCTCAGACGAATCTTTCATGTAACGAAATTTCTCTGCTGTAGACCAAGAAAAAGCTGATCTATTGACATTACACGTAATTTAATTGCAGTTTATCGCTTCCGGACGGTTTAGTGAAAAGTCTTGTCACGAACCTTTGTCGAACTTTCTTGAGCATAATTTCCAAGCTACCCCTAGCCTCAGTTTCAAAGCGAGGCTAAGTGCGAAGCTATTGATATGAAAGTGATTTTTTTTCCATTCTCGTGCAAATAAAACTTCAGTTTCACAAGAAAGGTTTTGCTCATAACTTCGTTTTGAAAGTGAGAAATTTTGGAACTCCGAAATGGCCTATTTGGTTATCATTTCACAGTGAACATAAGGATGTAATTTATACTCTTCTTTTTGTAGATGAAAGGCAATTCTGAACTTCCTCCTGGCGCGCAAGGCATTGGAGATGTTCTGTCACATCTTAGTACGTAATACCGGTGTATCATTTACGGATTACATCCCAGTGAACGTTCAGTTTGTCAGTTTAATTTGATGCCTAGACATTAAGACTAAATGATTTCAGGAAACATGGCGCAGCCTAACTTTTCAAACCGCCTTCAGGTTGAATGAGTGGATTTCAGATGAAACTTTCCGTACACTTGTAAGGTGGCTTCTAAATAAATTTGCTTTGTTTTAATTGTGTTCGAGAAGTCCAATTTGATGATTAACGGTCAAACCGGCACTCCTTAAAAAAAAATACTAGTCGAGGGTTATTTTTGGACAATTCAAAGTCTGGTGTTTTTCTGTTTGGTGTTTTAACTTGTTTTGTATCATCTCTTGACCAAGGCAGGATTAGCTCAATCGGTAAAGCGCTTGACTGCTGAGCGGGAGGTCGTGGGTTCGATCCTCGGGGCCGGACTAATACCCAGGGTCTTAAAATAACTGAGAAATGAAGGAATTACCTTTGCCATTCGTGCAAACCGCTAGACCTTCGCGTGGCTTGCATGACCTCAAAAAATGGTGATCCCATCTCCCTTGGGAGACTTAAAAATATTGTCCTCAATTTGAACTCTCGTGCTAAATACATTAACAGTCAAATAAAGTGCATTTTTTTGTCTCAATGCAGCCAGTTCCGTGGATCTTCACTATGGTCACACACGGCCCTTGCATGTCACCATGCTGCCCAATCCATCCCATCTGGAAGCTGTTGATCCTGTTGTAGTAGGA